CCTGGACCATCGGCCCCGTCAACGTCACAAACCCCCAAACAAGGACAGAGCAGACTGGGAGGGAGGGAGGGACGGAGACAGGATGCTTTTTGCATTTTAAGTTTTCTAAGGGGTCTTTCATTTTCTCCCTTTTTTTAATATATCAGGGATTGAATTTAGGGACCCTCGACCCCTGAGCCCTGTCCCCAGCCCTTTTTCTATCTTATTTAGAGACAGGGTCTCGCTGAGTGGCTCAGGGCCTCGCTAAGTGGCTGAGGCTGGCCTCCACCTTGCGATCCTCCTGCCTCAGCCTCCTGAGTCACTGGGATCACCAGCTGCCGCACCCTCAGGCTTCCTTACCGTTGGCTCTGGGCACCCATATTGAGAACGGAGTTGTCCCACTCTTGAAAGGCAGCACTTCTGTCACCTTTGGTGGCTTAGAGACGAGGGCTGGCCGGGGCTCCCTTCGGGTGGCCGGGGGGACTGGCTCTGCCTGGCCAGCAGCCCTGGCTGACCTGTCCGTGGCAGGGCACCCAAGGGCGAGCTGAGTGGCCCGAGGGGGGTGGCCGACTTTAGAGGCTGGGAACGTGGGCGTGGCTACTTTGCCCGTCCAGGAAGAAGAGGAGCTGGAGGGCCTAGTGGCCCTGGGACCAAAGGAGGGTCTCTTCCCCCATGTGACTGGGTGGTCTGTGCGCCAAGAGGCCTCCAGCCGCAGCCTGGGCCCCTGCCACCGGGTTCCTCCTTAGGACCAGACCCTTGTTTTCACTTCACATGGCGTGACCGTGCCTGGGCCTGGTCAAGGACACGGACAGGTGGGCAGAGTGCCCAGTGGGCAGAAGTCCGACCTCCAGCACCTCCACCCTGTCCCCAGGTCCAGGGGCCACTGGGCCGTCTGTCTCTTGAGGACACCAGCATAAGAGCACACGGTGGCTCTTTTCATCACCACCGCAGGCCACATCTCTGGTGGCAGAGGGGACACGGGCCACCTCTCCCCAGATCCTGGGGGCCGCCTCGCTGCTGTGGTGGGCAGGCGACGAGCCCTGTCACCGCTCCTCCAGTGGCTGTTCTGATGTGCGTCCTCACCGTCCCCAGCCCTCCCTGTACCCCATGCCCGACCCCATTGTGCTCTGACCCCAGGCACGAGGAGCAGCCACCTGTCCCCGTGCTCCCAGCTCCACTGGGGACATCCTCACCTAGAGCGGCCAGAGCAGCAGGGACAGCATCCTCCTGTCCCACCCGCAGCCCGGCTCCGGCTCCCAGGTGGTCCCCAGAGCTGGTCAGAGGAGCCCAAAGGTCTTTCTCAGCCTCTGGCCACGGAGCACAGGGTGACCCGGGTCTGTCCCTCCCTGAGCCGGGCCTCTGACTTGCAGGAGGTGTTTCGGCGCCACCGAGGGCTCCAGCTGGTGGCCCTGGTGGAGGAGGTGCTGCCCCGCCACCGCAGCGGCCGCCACGGGGACTGGCACATCTCCCTGAGCAAGCCCAGCGAGAAGGAGCAGCACCTGCTCATGGCGCTGGTGGGCGAGCAGGGTGAGGACGGCCGGCGGCCGGGGCCCTGGGTCCCCAGGACAGCACACCCCCTGGTCGCGGGCTCCAGGCCACCGACAAGCTTGGGTTCAGGGCAAAGGTGGAGGGCGCAGGGGCAGGGCGCAAGGAAACGCGTTCCAGCCCAGGTGGGGACGCCACGGTGTGGCGGGAGGGAGGGAGGAGCAGGAGGGGCTGCAGAGGTGACATCCGGCCACACCTGTTACCTGGTCACCCGCTGGGTCAGCTGGACGGACAGGGGGCCGAGGACGCGGAGAAGGCGCGCCCCTTTCCGCAGGAGCTGGTGGTGCACGCTTGCGCCTGTGCGCCCCGAGGATCTGGGTGTCATTAGAGCCCGAAAGTGGGGCTGAAGGGACTCAGGCCAGTGGTCCCAGAGGGGGTCTAGGTCTAGGGACCCCCAGAGGGGCCGCAGGGGCCAGGGCCGTGCTGATGGGGGCCTTTCTCCTCCCAGGGGTGGTGCCCACCCAAGATGTGCTCTCCATGCTGGGTGACATCCGCAGGAGCCTGGAGGAGGTAAGGGTTCAGGGACTTGGATCCCTGAGCTGCTCCTGAGCTCGCTCCCGTCTGTCCCTCAAGCTCTGGGGACACGCAGACTTCCCTGAGGGGCCCCACAGCACGTGGATCAAGGAAGCCCAGACAGACCGGGGTCTGGGCGGGGTGAGGCCTCGGGGGCCTGGGGCCCTTCCCAACCAGGCCCTGGGGAAGGGGGCGTCAGGGAAGGGCCTGGAGAAGAGGGGGTGGGGGTAAACAGCAGGACCCCCGTAGCACCTGGAAGAGGGAGCGTGACAGGTTCTGGAAACCTCAAGAATGTTCTGGAAGCCTGGGTATGCCCAGGAGCCACCAGCCCAGGACCTCCCAATGGCCAGCCGCCATTGCTCCTCTTGCTGGTGACCTGGGGTGCCAGACGTGGACTGCCATCTTGGGTGCTCTATGCCGGGGGCCTCCTGGGGAGACCTGGGCGGAAGGACAGACGGCAGCCCAGGGAAGCCGAGGTCCCCAGTCTCCTTACCCACTCCCCCGAAGGGCAGGACCCTGCGTTCCTCAACCCCCCCTCGGGGAACCCAGTGACGCGTTGTCAGTCCCCTTGATTCTTGAGCTCTGCAATATGTGACAGTAGATACGAACGCGTGACCCTGGGCCACATCCTTATCTGTCACATGCAAGGGGACCCTGTTTCCGTGCTGGTGCTTTATCTTGGTGAACACAGCGCTCACGCGGGGCCAGACCTGGGTGCTCCCCCCCAGGCTGTCAGGATCAAACAGGGCACCCTCTGGGTGCCCCAGACTCCATAGGCAAGTGACCTCACACCCAGAGAAGGGAGGTCACGTGCCTATCGGATCTTCCCCAGTTCTGCAATCCTGGGCTCGGGGACACTGTGGTGGTGGGGACGGTGGAGGCCTGGGCTGGCCTTGGCCTCCTGCACCTGCCTCCCTCCCCCTGGGTCCTCTGTCCTCACGGGGCCCTGATGCCGCTGGACTGCGCCCCACGACATGCCAGGTCTCTGCAAGGATGTAAGCACACGAGTTGAGCAAGGACCTTGGCAGGTGGTTCTAGCAAGACAAACTGACCCTTGTTAACCGCAAGTCCCCAAAACGTGCAGCTGGGTCACAGAAACGGCAAGAACTAAAATCCCGGTGCACCCCGGCCTGCCACACAGCCACCTGGCATCACTGCCCTCGGGGCTCAGCTCCAGGGCACAGCAGCCTCTTGGCAGAGAGGACAGGCCTGGGACAGACCACCAGCTGTGTGCTTGTCACCATGTCTCAGTGACACTCCAGCAGGAACTACCCAGCACTGTCCCAGGGACGTGAAGCTGGCTGGCCCATAATGACCAGAACATACCAGAATCCCCTCGCGCCCGCTGCAAGGTGGAAGCCTGTGGTCCCCAGTCCCCACCGAGCACAGGTGCCTGTCCCCAGCCCAGTCCCAAGCTCCAGCCGCCCCCCCAGGTCCTGAGCCGCGGACCCCGGCCCCTCCCCCCCCAGATTGGCATTCAGAACTACTCCACGACAAGTAGCTGCCAGTCACGGGCCACCCAGGTGCGCAGTGACTACGGGACGCTCTTTGTGGTGCTGGTGATCATCGGGGTCATCTGCTTCGTCATCATCGTGCTGGGCCTGCTCTACAACTGCTGGCAGCGCCGGCTGCCCAAGCTCAAGCACGTGGTGAGCCCAGGGGACAGGGACGGGACGGGACGGGACGGGACGGGACGGGACGGGGCTGGGCCTGGAAGGGAGCCGGTGGAGAAGGACCAGACGCAGTGCCCGCGCCTGCAGGCATGGCGTGGTGGTGGCCGAGTGTCCCGGGTGCACAGGGCTGTGCTGAGGACCACACAGGCACTGCGGGAGGGGGATGTGTCCTCATCCTTGGGGTCCCACCTGGTCCCCAGCTCCTCCTCCCCGAAGCGTGGCACTGCAGGGTCCTCCGTGGCGCTGCGCAGGCGCCAAGCCGAGGTTTCCCCAGAGCCAGGCCCGGGTCAAAGCCCACCGAAGCGCGCCTTTTGGCTTTGACTTGCAAAGGATGTTGGAAGGGATCGCACGACCCCAGGGAGGCGACAGGGTGTCCTAGTGCGAAGGATCATTCAGGAGCTCGGCGTGGCACCAGAAAAGTGGGAGCATGCCAGCTTCAGGGGGTCCCCTGGGGGTGCCCCGGTCGGGTCTTACTGAGCCCGCGCCCAGCGCCCTCTCCCACCGCTGCAGTCGCACGGCGAGGAGCTGCGCTTCGTAGAGAACGGCTGCCACGACAACCCCACGCTGGACGTGGCCAGCGACAGCCAGTCGGAGATGCAGGAGAAGCAGCCGAGCCTCAACGGCGGCGGGGCCATCAACGGCCCGGGGAGCTGGAGCGCGCTCATGGGGGGCAAGCGGGACCCCGAGGACTCGGACGTGTTCGAGGAGGACACGCACCTGTGAGCGCGGGCCTGCGAGCCGGGCCGGGGGCCGCGCCGGGATCGAGCAGCGCGGCCCCGAAGCAGACCGCCGCGGAGCCCGCACGCGCCCGCGCCCCCTCCCCGGACCGCGACCCTCGGCCAGGCCCTCGACGCGGGGCTGCTGCCCGCTTCCCCCGACTCCACACCGCGACCTCGGCACAGCGCCCCCTCTCCCGGCCCCGCGAACCCCGGCCCGCGGGCAGCGGGCGGCGCTCTGAGCGCTCCGCCCGGGACTTCATTAAACCCGCCCGGGGACTGCCGGGCCGCCAGTCCGCTGCTCGCCTGTTCTTACTTCCGGGAGGCGGGGCCTGGGGCGTGTTCGGGGGCGGGGCACGGCCGGGCGTCAGTGTTGACTGGGGAGAGAGGCGGAGCCTGGGCGCTGCAGGGCGGGGCCGGGCGTCGTTGTTGGCGGGGAAAGAGGCGGGGCTTGCGTCGCTGTGGGGCGGGGTGAGGGGCGGGGCCTGCGGCGGGGCGGGACCGGGCGTCGCTGTGGGGCGGGGCGAGGGGGCGGGGCGGGACCCGGCGTCGCTGTGGGGCGGGGCGGCGCATGTTTACGTCCCGCCGGGCGCGCCGCGTCGCCGCCTGAGGTTGTTCGGCCGGGGTCCGAGCTTCTCGCACCATGGACACCAGCGACCTGTTCGCCAGCTGCAGGAAAGGCGACGTGGGCCGCGTGCGGTGAGGACCCGCGGTCCCGGGAGGGCGCAGGGGGAGCGCCCCGGCCGGCGGGCGTGCAGCGGCTCTCAGCTCCCACCCGCGGAGCGCCGGGGCGGACTCGCAGCCCGAGGGCTCCCTGGAGGAGGGCACCCTGCCACCCAGTGGCGCCGGGTGCGGACCCCGGGGCAGGCTGGGACCCCCTACGTGGCTCCTTTCTCGTACCTGACGCTGCGGACCGGACCGCGGTCCCCCGGGAGGCAGAGGTTCCCGGTGCAGCTCGCGCCAGCTCCCGGGGCCCGACGGGGAGGCCAGGGGCGCCCCGTTGGGACCCGGGCACCCCTCATCCTTGGTCCTCCCTCGCCCGGGACTTCTGACACCCCCTCCCCCAGCTGATCCCAGGCGGGGGCCCTCCCCGACTTCAGGTGGCACCCGGGAGTTGGTGGATAAGCCGCGGAGCTGAGTGGCCTCCGCCTTCCCGGGTCTCTCCCTGGCCGTCTCCTGGCTGCCCGTCCGCCCAGAGCTGGCGCGTCACCCCCTCTCTCACTTTCTCTCCCGGGTCACCTACCATGTCCCACGTGTGCCCTTTTAGATCGGCGCCCCTGTCCCTGTCCCTGATACCTGAGCTGCGTCGTTCCCCCTGGCTTTAGAGCAGAACCAGCCTACTGCCCCCCAAAGCCGGAGGGCTCTGGCTGAAATCGGGGCCCCATCGCCTCTCTCCCAAGTGCAGGAAGCTCAGCGTCCCATCCTTCTCCCCTCCTGAGCCTGGCCTCTGCACCCAGGATCCCCCGCCACACCTGATGCTCAGTGTCCAGCTCTTCCTGTCTACTTGTCCTCAAAAGCCTTCCTCCCTCTGGTCTGCCCTGCTCTAGGGGAGGCTCCTTCCCTAGACCATGACCGTTCTGACCCCGAACTCTGACCTCCTTCCTACCAGGTACCTGCTAGAGCAGCGAGACGTGGAGGTAAACGTTCGCGACAAGTGGGACAGCACCCCTTTGTGAGTGCCAGGCTGGTGGGGTGGTCTGGATGGGCACGGCGGGCCCCTGCGCCTCTGGCCGCTGCATTCCCATCCTTCCTTCCCTCAGATACTATGCCTGCCTCTGTGGGCACGAAGAGTTGGTCCTCTACCTTCTGGCCAACGGTGAGAGAAGGAGCCCGCCGGGGACATGTAACTGTCGCTTATGAACCTGTGCATTGTCCTTGGGCCCCACTAGAGTGTAAATTCAATGGGCTCAGGGGCCTGTTTGGGGGGAGGCTGTGTCCTTTATGGCCAGCCCCAGAGTTGTGGGTACAGTCCATACTGCAGATCTGAGTGTATATGTCTACCTGCCTTGCCCGGTACCTGGCAGGGAAGATACTGCGGTCAGAGTGGACCCAGGGTAACTTGGGAAGGGGGCGTCAGGGCTTATGAGTTGTACAGGTGGAGCGGTAAGCAGGAGGGGCGGGAGATTCAGATTTCCGTCAGGCTTCAACCCACTGATGGCCGAGCCCTGCTGCCCTTAGGAGCCCGCTGCGAGGCCAATACCTTTGATGGCGAGCGCTGTCTCTATGGGGCACTGAGCGACCCCATCCGCCGGGCTCTGCGGGATTACAAGCAGGTCACGGCCTCCTGCAGGCGCCGGGATTACTATGATGAGTTCTTGCAGAGGTGAGCTGGGCCCTGGGCACCAGGTGATGCGCAGAGGATGGGGCTTGCATGCGCTGGGCATGCGCAGTTGGGCGCACACTGTGCAAGGCGCCCTGATCTGAGCCGTCCAGTGAGTGTCGCTGTTGCCCGGTGTCCGCAGGCTCCTGGAGCAGGGCATCCACAGTGACGTGGTCTTCGTGATTCACGGAAGGTCCTTCCGCGCGCATCGCTGCGTCCTGGGGGCGCGCAGTGCCTACTTCGCCAACATGCTGGACACCAAGTGGAAGGGCCGGAGCGTCGTGGCGCTGCGGCATCCGCTGGTGCGCCCCGTCGAGGGGGGGGGGGTGTCCAGGGGCCTGAACGGCCGCGCATGCGCTGATCGCTCATCGGCTGCCCCGGGAACGGCCGCGCATGCGCTGATCACTGATCGGCTGCCCCTGACCGTCCTGCCCCCCGGTCTCTGTGTCCCACAGATCAACCCGGTGGCTTTCGGAGCCCTGCTGCAGTACCTGTACACAGGTGACTCCATGCTCAGGTGCAGTGGGCGGGGCGAGGGCCACCTCGCTGGACAGCCAGGTGACCTTGCACCTCTAGGCCCCCGTCCGTGCCACGGTGCCTTCTCGGGTGGGGCGTGGGCAGTGGCCTGGGCCTGCCCGCTGGGCCACCTGTGGCTGTCCCCTCCCCTCAGTCCAGCGCCAGGCCACCACCTAGGGCGCACCTTTGGGCATGGGATGTCCCCGAGGGCCCCTCCAGGTCCTGATCGGTCCGCCCCGCGCCCAGGCCGCTTGGACATCGGAGTGGAGCACGTGAGCGACTGCGAGCGCCTGGCCAAGCAGTGCCAGCTGTGGGACCTGCTGGGCGACCTGGAGGCCAAGTGCGAGAAGGTGTCGGAATTCGGTGCGTGGGGGGGGGGGGGCGCTCTGGGCGCAGGGCTCCGGGTGGCACCGCGGGGTGGGCCTGGCCCTGATGGCGCCTCGCTCCGCAGTGGCCTCCAAGCCCGGCACATGCGTCAAGGTGTTGACCATCGAGCCCCCGCCCGCCGACCCCCGGCTCCGGGAGGACCTGGCGCTGCTGGCCGACTGCGCGCTGCCCCCCGAGCTGCGGGTGAGCGCGCTGCAGGTGGCCCTGCCCCGCCCCGGGCTCCCCGCCGGGGCCACCCCTGCCCTGCTGAGCGCCGATGGGTCCCTCTCCCGTGTCCCAGGGCGACCTCGGGGAGCTGCCCTTCCCCTGCCCCGACGGCTTCAACAGCTGCCCAGACGTGTGCTTCCGCGTGGCCGGCTGCAGCTTCCTGTGTCACAAGGTACCTGTCCCCCGGTCGCCCGTCCTGCCCCGACCCCTGCCCCTGCCCGGCCCCCGCTGAGCCCGGCCTCCCCCAGGCCTTCTTCTGCGGCCGCAGTGACTACTTCCGGGCCCTGCTGGAGGACCACTTCCGAGAGAACGAGGAGCCTGCGGCCTCTGGGGACCCCCCGGTTGTCACCCTGCAAGGCATCTCCCCCGAGGTCTTCACGCACGTGCTCTACTACGTGTACAGCGACCGCACCGAGGTGTGCTATGGCCGGGCGACGTCGGGGGAGACGGGGAGACGTGGGGGGGAAGATACTGCGGTCAGAGTGGACCCAGGGTAACTTGGGAAGGGGGCGTCCGAGGGTGACGTCGGGGGTCAACATGGGGAGGAAGATACTGCGGTCAGAGTGGACCCAGGGTAACTTGGGAAGGGGGCGTCAGGGGGTGTCGTCGGGGGTCAACATGGGGAGGAAGATACTGCGGTCAGAGTGGACCCAGGGTAACTTGGGAAGGGGGCGTCAGGGGGTGACGTCGGGGGTTGACATGTGGGGGAAGACGTGGAGGAGTGATGTTGGGGAGAGACTTTGGGGGGAGATGTGGGGGTGGGATGTCGGGGTCTTCATAGGTGGTGACGTCATGGGGGGGCTACGTGGGGGGGGCGCTGTGCCTTTTGGACAGAGGGGCCCTGGTGGCTTCCGACCAAGAACGGGAGACAGACTCCGGTCCTTGGGGGCATCGGGTCAACTTCTCACGATCCCCAGTTGCTCCAGCGGATAGGCCGCATGGGGACTGTAACCCTATGTCCTTAAGGGTCCCGACCCTCCTGCCCACCCAGGGCCGCAGACTCCTGGGGTCCTGGGTTCTCCTGTCACTTCCTCCCCCGGTGCCTCCCTCTGCCCTCAGTTACCCTGAGGCATCGCCAGCGTGAGGCCTCCCGGTTGGCAGTGGGTGCTGTTGGCCGTCCCCCTGGTGGGGTGTTTAAGGGTGTGATGGCCGTGGTGCTGTCACTGGGCACTCAAAACGGCCCAGCTCCAAGGCTGGTTTGACTCTGGATCAGCTTAGCCGGGTGCGCGGTGCCCACTTGTGGCTCAGGAGGCTGAGGCAGGAGGATCTCCCGTTGGAGGCCAGCCTCAGCAACTAGTGAGGCCCCGACTCAAAATACAAAGGGGGCTGGGGACGGGGCTCAGTGGTTGAGCACCGTTGGGTTCAGTCCCCGGCACCAAAAGAAGAGCCCCACACAAGCTCCAAGCTTGTTTCTGGTTAGGATCTGAGGCGAGTGTCCCAGGGCAGGTGGCATGCTGGGGACCCAGGTTGTCTTCTCCCTCTTGCTTCCCTGCCACCCCTAAGGGGACCCCAGACCTTCCTTCTGTAGGTGACTCTTTCAGGCTCTCAAAGCCAGGCGGTCTCTCTCAGCTCCTTGGCTCTAGCACAGCAGAAGCCATTGCATTCCCAGGCTGAGGGCCTGTGTTCCAATAAAACTTTATTTACACCCACGGCCCCCAGGCTGAGGCTCACCCACCTGCCCAGGGCGTCACCTTCTGCTTACAGAAGTTGAGCCACAGGCAACTTCCTGTTGTCAGAGGAAGAGGAAGATGGGGGCGAGTGGTTTCCTTTTCCAGGAATCACTGAAAGTTGCACCTGTCACATCTCACGCTCCCCCGGAGATTGCTTAGTGACCACATTTGCCAACGAGGGAGGCTGGGAAACAGTCCCTGTCACTTTAAGAAGGGGAGAAGAAGCCGGGTGCGGTGGGTGGCCCTGCCTGTCATTCCAGGGGCTCAGGAGGCTGAGGCAGGAGGATCACAAGTTGGAGGCCAGCCTCAGTCATTCAGTGAAGCCCTCAGCCTCTACCTGGCTCCTCGGGCCTCCCTTCCTCCTTCTCTACTTCATTTTTCCTATCCTGCAGCTTGGCCCAGCCCTCCTGAGCTGTGTGATCTCACACAAGTTACTTAACTTCTCTGTGTCTCCTTGATCCCCTCTGGAAGCACCTGGGATAATGCCTGCCCTTACTCCCTCAGGTCTTGGGCAAATGCGGATGTCACGGCTGGCCCGGCAGGGTACCTGGCCTGGCACAGGGCCAGCAGCCTGACACTAGTCGGTCACCTAGCCTTCCCCTGCCAGGGACAGAGCCCTGGGTGCTCCCAAGTCCCCACAGGCAGTTCCTCTTCCCTGACCGCCTTACCCGAACAAGCAAACGGGCACAGAGAAGTTAAGTGACCTGCCCAGGGTCACACAGCTAGAAGTAGCACAGTCCACCCAGGTCTGTGCGCTTGGGGGCTCAGCCAAGACACGGGGGGTGGGGGGAAGGCACCCCTTCAGTTCTCTTCTGTCCCTGTGTCCCCACAGGTGGGGATCTGGGCCAGGCTTAAGAGCCTGAGTGGCCTCTGCTCCCTGGAATGCCCCGCCCTCCCCACGCAGGTCTGAGAGTGGCCACGGGTGACCTGGGGCCGCGCCGTCGCCCCTTCTTTTTCACAGCTGCCCCCCGAGGCGGCCTATGACGTGCTGAGCGTGGCGGACATGTACCTGCTGCCGGGCCTCAAGAGGCTGTGTGGCCGCAGCCTGGCCCAGCTGCTGGACGAGGACAGCGTGGTGGGCGTGTGGCGCGTGGCCAAGCTGTTCCGCCTGGCGCGGCTGGAGGACCAGTGCACGGAGTTCATGGCCAAGGTCATCGAGAAGGTGGGCAGGGGCAGCGGGCAAGTGGGCGTGACGGTGGGCAAGTGGGCGTGGCGACAGGCAGGACGGCAGGGAGGTGGGTGGGGCAGCGGGGCGGTGGGCAAGTGGGCGTGGCGGCAGAGAGGTGGGCGTGGTGATGGGCGGGGGCGGGGGGAGGTGGGCGTGGCGATGGGCAAGTGGGCGTGGCAGGTGGCAGGGCAGGGGCGTGGTGGTGGGCAGGTGGGCGGGGCCGCAGGGAGGTGGGCGGGGCGACAGGGAGGTGGCAGGGCAGGAGGTGGGCGTGGTGGTGGGCAGATGGGAGGGGCGGCGGGCAGGTGGGCGAGACTGGGAAGTGGGCGTGGCGGCAGGGAGGTGGGGGGCTGTGGGGTGGGCGTGGCGACGGGCATGTGGGTGGGGCTGTGGGCGGGCTGGTGGGCGTGACCGGGAGGTAGGCGTAGCAGCAGGGAGGTGGGCGGGGCAACGGCAGGTGGGCGTGGTGATGGGCAGGTGGGCGGGGTGACGGGCAGATGGGCGTGGTTACAGGCGGGTGGGCGGGGCTCCCGGTGTCCACCACCCGCTGAGCCCGCCTGTTCTGCAGCTTGTGGAGCGGGAGGACTTCGTGGAGGCCGTGAGGGAGGAGGCCGCGGCCGTGGCCTCCCGGCAGGAGACGGACTCCATCCCCCTGGTGGACGACATCCGCTTCCACGTGGCCAGCACCGTGCAGACCTACAGCGCCATCGAGGAGGCCCAGCAGCGGCTGCGGGCCCTGGAGGACCTGCTGGTGTCTATCGGCTTGGACTGTTGAGGCCAGGCCTGTGACCGGGCAGGCCTCCAGATTGGGCCTCCCTCGGGCACGGGCGTGCGTGTGTGCATCTGTGCATGGAGTCTTCTTGCTCCTTGCACACTGAGAGCATCGGGGTGGGCGGAGGGGCCTCGCTGGCCCACCCAGGACCTGGGGAACCCAATGCACAAACCAGCTTCCAGGACCCCGGGCCGGGCACAACTCAGGAAAACCCGGGGCAGGGCCTCCGGCCTCTCGGGCCTCCCTCCCCGGCATCTGGCCCCGGCCCAGCCCGGTCCTGGCTGGCTTTGACCCTTCCCGCGTGTGGGGCCGGGCGGGAGGGCCGGGCAGCATGTGTGGTAATAAAGAGTGGCTTCGCGGCAGGTCCCCAGCCTGTGTCAGGGGACAGCTTGGGGAGGGTAGGGGTGGGGAGGCAGCCCAGTGCAGAGGCTGGCCGGAGGCTTGAAGCCGACCTGGACACCCCAGGCCTCCTTGGCCCTGTCTCTGCCTCCACTTCCGGCCTCCAATGGCCTCTGGCCTCTGATTGTGGTGGGCCTCTTTGGGCCTCCTTCCAGGAGGATCGTTTTCCCTCAGCCTAGACCCCATCTCCTCTCCAGGGAGGCCCTGGTGGCCCTTCCTACAAGGACTGTGACATTTTAGTCTGATGGCAAAACATTTCCTGTGTGAGGCTGTCCAGGGCCCCAGGAGGTAGTGGGCCATGGGGAAGGAAATGAGGGAGTCAATATGGCGGAACTTCCTGTGGCCAGGGAGCCTTCAGTGAGGCCTCTGAGTCCACGAGGCTACTCAGGCTGCACGGTGTGGGGTGAGGGGGCCCAGGGACACAGGACGAGCTGCGGCCTTGAGAGGATTTCTGCTTAGTTTCTATAATGTGGATTTTAGGGTTTCAAAACCACATCTGACCCTCATTTAACTTTTGGGGGGAGGAGGGAGATACTAGGGATTTCATCCAGGGGTGCTGGGGTGCTCCACCACTGAGCCACAACCCCAGCTCACCACCACCACCCCCACTTTGTTTGAGGCAGGGTCTCAGTAAATTGCTGAGGCTGGCCTCCAACCTGTGATCCTCCTGCCTCAGCCTCCCCTGTTGTGAGGGTTATAGGTCAGGGCCACCCTGTCTGGTTTCACTGCGCCTTCTATCCCGACTGAAAAGATTTCACAGGTATAAAAATATAAAATATTTATAAAATAAAATAAATATAAAAATAAATCAAGGGGCTGGGGACCCATGCAGACAGAGGGTCTGTTGAGACACAAGTGGCCCAGGTGCCGTGGCCCACGCCTGTCACTGCAGAGACTCGGGAGGCTGAGGCAGGAGGATCGTGAGTTGGAGGCCAGCCTCAGCCACTTAGGGAGGACCTGAGCAACTCAGCGAGACCCTGTCTCTAAATAAGATCTGAAAGGGTGACTTGAAATCAACATGAATCAATAAAACTGTCCCTGGGTTTGGGTACAAGTTGATATCTGGTGTGCCCTGTGATTTTTTTTTTTCGCATTCATTTTGATTTTTAAAACTATGAGCTTAAAATAGCGCTTCTCTTGATAGTGAAGGTTCTTGATGATGAAGGGGCTTGGTCCTCCCTTAGACCTCGGGTCCCCAGTGAGTCCCTCAGTGCCTCACCCAGCCCTGCCCTGAGTCGTAGCCTCTAAGTGCATAATAATAACTCATTTTTCCACCATCCTATAATTTCTTTGCTGAGAAAACTCCTACGTCACCCTCAATACCCCTGGAGCTGAGCAGACGAAAGATCAAAGGCAGGGCTCAGGCTGCAGCCTGCACACCCCGGGGTTGGAGGAAGAGGGTCGGGCGTTCTAGCTGGGGTCAGGGACAGCAGTGGTCCCTGGGGCAGGAACGTGTCACTTGGGAAGAAGTGGAGTCCCCTGAGAGGTCTTGATGTTTTGAGCACCAGAGGGGACATCCTGGCCGGACTTCTCAGATTCTCTCTTCAGGGCCCCAGACCAAGTGGCTTGCAAAACACGAACCTGATGCAAGATGTGAAGTTGTGTCACCGCCCTGACCCACGGCTGGCTCCGTCCCCGTCACTCTGCAAGAAGGAACGCCCAGATGGAGAGGTCGCTGCTGCTTGCACCTGAGGTCTGCATTGTCCCCTGGAAGGTGTCTCTGGTTTCCTTCTTTTTGGTCCCAGGGATGGAACCCAGGGGTGCTGAACCCCTGAGCCCAGTCCCCAGCCCCTTTTTTAGATTTTATGGAGAGACAGGGTCTCGCTGAGTGGCTCAGGGCCTTGCCAAGTGGCTGAGGCTGGCCTCCACCTTGCGATCCTCCTGCCTCAGCCTCCGGAGCCGCTGGGATGGCAGGTGTGCGACCCGGGCACACCTATGTTTTAACGGTCTCTCTGGCTGTTTGGGGGGCGACAGACTCCCTGAGGCCAGCTGGGGTGGGGTTGGGGGGCCACTGCTTCAGAGCAAGGGCCACAGGGGAGCGGGACCATCTGACCTTGGCCAGGCTCTGGAGAGGCCACCCACCCACGCAACCCAGAGTGCCAGAGGGGGCATCAGGCGACCAGCCCAACACGGCAGGGCTCACCCAGGACTCCACTGTCCCTCCCAAAGGTCCCGGGGCCCCCTCTAAGGGAGGCCTGTCACGGGGGACGGACAGACGGACAGACAGACAGTGTTCAGAAAACACGTGGTTTATTAGGGTTAGCGGTAGCGTACATGGGTCCCTTTCAGAGTTCCAGGCCGATCCACGTTCCCCACTAACAGTCCACGGGAGGGATGTGGCTTGAGCCGCGGTGACAGTGACATACCCGTCGATGGCTTGGAAAATGACCGGGATCCTAATAGATGGACGTCGGCCATCGGCAGCCAGAGGAGGGAAGCTACTGAGAGACGGTGGGGGCCTGGAGGTGGCATGCGGCCAGAGACCTCTGGGGGGCGTCCAGAGCGTCCTGAGGGTGGTGGCCCCTGGAACCTTCTAGGACCTTCTAGAACCTTCTAGAAGGTGACGGGGGTGGGGCTGGGGTCCGAGGGAGGCTGCCCAGCCCACCTGTCCTCTCTGCCAAGGGACCGGGGCGTCGCGGGCTGCTGCCCACTGCCTTGCTACCTGCAGAGGGTGACCTTTACCTAAAAAAGATTTTCAGGCCCCAAACCCAGTTCCCTATGGAGGCCAGTGACCTTGGAGGCCCTTGACCTTGGAGGCCCGTGACCTTGGAGGCCCTGGGTCCTAATGTCCCAGTCAGGATTTGGACCAGCTGCGTCTTGGGGTCCCCTCCTGGACTCTGCCCTCCTCTCACCCCTCAAGGTCAAGCTCTGGGGGACCCCAGGGGGGACCCAGTATCCCTTCCAACCCCAAGTGCCTCGACGGCCACGGTCCAGGGCAGGACCCTGAGGGCCAGAATGTCACCACGGAGCTGTCAATGCCGACGGTGACCCTGGTTCTAGGCTGGCCCGGCTTTTTGAAAGACAGAGGGGTGATGGTCCCCCATTTCGGGTCATTTTTTTCCCTCTGGAATATTACTAACTCATGAACAAGACACATAAGTGGGTCCCCCTTGGTGACTCTGTCAGGGCTTCTATGGAAGGACATCCAGGTGTCCAGGGGGGAGCCTCTGGCCACCCCCCGGGACTTCTGCTTGTCCCTGCTTGGCTCGGGTGCTCAGTCCCTGGCAGCCGTCAGGGCACAGGGTGACCCTGGGGACCCCAGCAGGGTCTAGAATCTGCCATGTGTGACCAGGAGGGTCTCATCTCCGAAATAAGCCCCAAGAAAAGGACAGGGCATTCCCGCCACCCCCAAAGAAGGGTCTGAGCCCCCCAGATTCTGAGTTTCCATTTTGGGGATCCTGGAAGGGAGGAGCGTCCCCTCCCCCAAGAGGGGTCCAAAGGGCACCCCGACTTCTCCCTCGCCACCCCGCGGGGTGTCCCCAGCGGCCGAGCTCCCTCCCAGGGCTCTAGTCGCACTAACGAGACTTTTGAGGTAACAGCAAGTCCCAAGGTCAAGGTGAAAGAGTTCCCAAGGGCGCGGGGGTGTCCCCAGTTATTGCTGCCTCACAGGGAGGCCACGGGCAGGGCCAGGGCTGGGGTGGGCACCTGAGAAGCCCAGGTCAGGCTGGGTCCTTGTCTGGGAAAGGTCGGGGGACACCCGTTGAGGCCGTGACTAGCCCTGGGCGGGGACAGGAGGCATCTGGTCCCAGCTCTCAGCACTGTAATTCCCTCCTCTGGCCACCAGAGGGCGCCGTGGAGCCGGCCGTGAGATTCCCAGGGTGGCTCTGGGTGACAGAGGAGGACCATCAGGCCCAGGGGGACAGCTGCTCCTTGCCACTCTGCCACCCATCCCGATAGTCTCTGCTTTAGAATAGACATTATATATTAGATACTTCATCTGCAATACGACTCTCTTATAGCATCGGTGACACTAGTGTCCCCAAAAAAAGGCAGCCTCTTTTCTGAGGGGGGAGGGGTGCCAGGGATGGAACCCAGGGGCGGGGGGGCTGTAACCCCTGAGCCCCGTCCCCAGCCCTGATTTTCTATTTGATTGAGAGACAGGGTCTCGCTGAGTGGCTTAGGGCCTCGCTTTGGCTGAGGCTGGCCTCCACCTTGTGATCCTCCTGCCTCAGCCTCCCGAGGCACTGGGATGACAGGTGGGTGCCCCTGGGCTCTAGTGGATTGTAAATCAGCTGGCAAGGTCACGGGTGGCTGCTCATGTGGAGAAAGTGCCAGTCACGTGCTGAGCCTTGGAAGGGCACATGAGTCTGCCCCCGGAGCTGGCCTGGGTGGGGACACAGGCCACGTCATGACACACCAGAGAAAGGCCACAGTCATGGCTGGTCAGAGAGGGCCACTGGGCGGGAGCTTGAGTAAGGAAGGACCAGGGGTGGACACTTCTCCGATTATTGCATCTGGTCTCCTGGGATCACCAGGGATCCCTGGGAACCTGGTAGGAGCTGGGAGAGGCGGGCAGAGTCCCTGCACATTTAATTAGTTTATTTTTTTTGGTCCCAGGGATTGAACCCAGGGGCACTGAACCCCTGAGCCCTGTCCCCAGCCCTTTTTCTATTTTATCTAGAGACAGGGTCTCGCTGAGTCGCTTAGGGCCTTGCTAAGTGGCTGAGGCTGGCCTCCAAATTGCGATCCTCCTGCCTCAGCCTCCGGAGTGGCTAGGATTATAGGCGTGCGCCACCACGCGGGGCCCTGCTTATTTAAGAAAAAAAAAATTTTAATAGAGTCCCTCTGTGGGAATTGCCTGTCACCCTTCTCTTTCTCATTATTACTATTATTATTATTATATATATATATATATTTTTTTTTTTGCATAGTGTCTACCCTTTAGGGTAGTTCCAGTGCCTTATAGCCTTATATATGACATAAATTTATTTTTTTTAAAGTTAACTGCGCCAGGGGTCCCTCCAGTTTGGCGGTGGGTTGGTTTTTAAGCCACTCGGAAGTAGCCAGCTCTGTTCTCCCTCTGCCCGCTTCCCCCAGGCCATGAGCTGGTCCCTTGGCCTGTGCACTCAGGGCGGGGACCCTCTGGGGACCCCTCTGGGGACAGCCATGGTTATCCTTTGGGAGACCCACATGTTTATTTCGTGGAAGACGGAGTTGGTCACCTCCGGAAGCTCTTTGTGGAGGACGTGGTAGGCACCTTCGTAAATCTGCAATCAGAGGAGGGTCAGGGCGACGGCGTCAGAAGAAGTGGCAGGTGGTGGGGGTGGGGAGTGGACACAGGGGACAGGAGTGGGCAGTGTCCTTAGGGGCCAGCTCCCTGTGCCTGGAGCATCTGGCTTTCACTCCCCACCCCCCACTTTTTTTGAGAGGGGGGCAGGGTAGGGGACAGGGCCCTGCTAAGCTATGGAGGCTGGCCTCCAATTTGCGATCCTCCTGCCTCAGCCTCCCAAGTCGTTGGGATGACAGGCGGGCGCCACGGCACCGCCGGCGGGGAGGCAGAACCTGTCAGCCGGAATGTCCCCCTGGAGCTGGGATCTGTCCCACGGGGTTTCTGGGTCATGTGTCCTGGGGGCTCAGCAGGGGCTCCACTCCTCATCTGGGGGCTTCCTCCCAGTTCAGTCAAATAAAACTAGCACATCTGTGTCCCCACCTTGAGAGTCTGTCCGAGGCAGCCAGGGCTGTCTCTTGGGTCTAACAGGCCACCTAGCCAAGCCTCAGGGCCTGTCCCTGCGAGGTCCCTCGTCCACCCGCAGGGCCACCTCCTGCAGACTGTCAAGTGCCCCAGCATCTCTGTGACCATGTCTCTGGCTGCTGCTGGGCCTGGGGTTGCTGGGGCTGGCACCCAGGGAGGTTGGGGACCATGCATGTCATTGGAACTTGGAAGGGACATTCTCTCAAGACACTGTATTTGTTCAGCAAACAGTAGCAGGATCCAGGTCCTCCCACCAGCTCTCCAGGACCTGATTAGACACACCCACAGGGAAGCCCGCCTCCTGCCACGCCCTGGGGCGGGGCTATGCTGTGGGCGGGGCTGCACTGTGGGTGTGGCTAAACTGTGGGACAGGGCTATGCTGTGGGTGGAGTTATGCTGTGGGGCAGGGCTATGATATGGGGTGGGGTTATGATGTGGGTGTGGCTAGGTGGTGGGGCGGTTTCTGCTGTGGGCGGGGCTATGCTGTGGGTGTGGCTAAATTGAGGGACAGGGCTATGCTGTGGGTGGGGTTATGATATGGGGTGGGGCTATGATGTGGGTGTGGCTAGGTGGTGTGGCGAGGCTACACTGTGGGTGGAGCTATGCTGTGGGTGTGGCTAAACTGGGATAGGGCTATGCTGTGGATGGGGTTATGCTGTGGGGCTGGGCTACGATAGGGGGTGGGGCTGTGAGGTGGGTGTGGCTAGGTGGTGGGGCGGGGCTACACTGTGGGCAGGGTTATGCTGTGGGTGTGGCTAAACTGGGACAGGGCTATGCTGTGGGGCGGGGCTATGATATGGGTGGGGCTATGATGTGGGTGTGGCTAGGTGGTGGGGAGGGGCTATGCCATGGGCGGGGCTAGGTTGTGAGTGTGGCTCAACTGTGGGACAGGGCTATGCTGTGGGTGGGGTTATGCTGTGGGGCGGGGCTATGATGTGGGTGTGGCTAGGTGGTGGGGAGGGGCTACGGTGTGGGCGGGGCTACGTTGTAGGCGGGGCTACAGGCTACACTGTGGGTGGGGCGGGGCGGGGCGGGCCGGGCAGCCGCTCACCTTGAGAGTCTTGTCCTGGCTCTTGGCTGACTCCATGAGCAGGTAGGCCCCTCTGCTGTCACACAGGCGGTCTGCGGAGCCCTGGAGCAGCAGGAAGGGCAAGGTCAGCTTGGGGAGGGCTCGCTCCACCCGCGAGACAGCGTTGAGTAGTTGGATCCCAAAGCACACTTTCAGCCCCGCCCGGCAGATGAGAGGGTCCGAGTCGTAAAGCTCAACCTGGAGGAGGGGGGGACCAAAAAGAACAAAAGAAAAGAAAAAGTCACCTTCAGTGCAGGCCGCGGCTCACCCTTGCTAGGCCCAGATCATTTATTATTTTTTTCTTTTTTGGTCTCGGAGGCAACCTCCCGGGTGCTTAACCCCTGAGCCCCATCCCCAGCCCTTTTCATGTTTTATTTAGAGACAGGGTCTCACTGAGTTGCTAAGTGGCGGAGGCTGGCCTCCACCTGGCGATCCTCCTGCCTCAGCCTCCTGACTGCTGGGATGACAGGTGTGCACCACCACCCCCAGCCTCAGCAAGTCCATGCCCTGTATGTGGCCTGAGGTGGGACTTCTGCCCTACAGAATCTGGGTGAGAAGGCTCTAGAAGTGTCTCAAGCCCTGATGGGTAGGCGTGAGGCCACCGTGCTCCTTTGCTTACTTTCCCCAGGGCAGGCTGGAGATCTGCCCTGTGGTGTGGACACGGTTGGGGCAGAGGGCAGCCCCAGGGGACCCCAGGCCGCCACTGGACTGGGACTCAGGCTCTCCACGGCCGCACCCCCCTTCTGTCACCACCCCTTGCAGGGCCTGGGCCAGAATTCCAGATCCAGGCCAAGAGGGGACCGGCTGTCCTGTGGTCACCCCTGCCATCCTGGATTGCGTCCCATGCCAGAGACTGAGCATCGCAGAGCGGACCATTGGTGAAAAGCCACCCGAGTCGGATGAGCCAGCTCCTGCAGCTGAGCGTGTGACTCCCACCAGCCAAGGCCATCTGTTTGGCAGGCTGTGCTGGGCGGGAGCGGGTCATGCACCTCGGCTTCAGTGCATGCAGCCCACCAGGGAGGAGAGCTGTGGGGCCACAGAGGAGCCCTGGGCTCAGGATTGCCCAAGTCCTGGTGCCTACAGTGATAGCAACCAGAACACCCTGTGCCCAGCCCGGGGCCAGGACAGTGGGTCAGGATCCTGTTGAGTAATAAAAACAAGAACAGCTTAAAAAAACAAAAAGTCTAGTTACACCCGAGCTCTTGCTAAATGCTCAGCCCTAATGTTTGTCTATATAATATCTAATAACGAATTTAACCTCCGTCACTACCTTGACCGAGGCACGGCTATTATTATTATTGTTGTTGTTGGTACCAGGGATTGAGCCCAGGGGTGCTTCGCCCCTGAGCCCCGTCCCCAGCCCCTTTTTCTATTTTATTGAGAGACAGGGTCTCGCTGAGTTGCTTAGGCCCTTTCTAAGTGGCTGAGGCTGGCCTCCAACTTGCAATCCTCCTGCCTCAGCCTCCCTCAGGCCGCTGGGATGACAGGCATGTGCCACCGCACCTGGCTTATTATTCATTTTTTGCACATCAGGAAATTCAGGCAGAGAGAAGTTTAGTAACCCCCCTGTTATGAGTTACCCCAATCCCTGTTTTCCCCTCTAGAATTCTTTGATATTCAGCTGGGTATACAACTCCTGCAATGGAAGACTACATTCCCCAGCATCCCTTGCAGCAGGGCATGGTCACATGACCATGTTCCAACCAATAGGAGAAGAACAGGAGAGCTGCTGGTACCCTCTGGGTCCAAAGCTGGCCCTTCCTGTAGGTCCTTTAGGGAGGGAGTTGGGCCGTGTGGACCCAGGCTGGGGACACACTGGGACGTGTTGAGCTACAGGACGGGTCCCCCTGGTGCTCAGAAGTCACCTGCCAGAGAACTAAGCCCTTTCCCTTTCAAGGCACTGCAGTGTGGGGTCCCAGGCCCAGCAGGGTGGCCATGCCCTGGCCAGCTGCCCCCTCCCATCTCGCTGTGTCCACATCCGGGCTCCTCCAGGGCCCTTGGGGGCTCCACCCGCGCCTGCTGTGACTCTCGGCCATAGGTCGGGTGTCCTGTGTCCATTTCCTGAAACTGGCCTGAGACTCTGCCCTGCTTGGAGCCCCCCCAGCGCACCGGTCCCTTGGGGACTCTGCTCCAGGGTTGAATGGCTCTGGCGGCCCCAGTGGCTTCCTGCCTTGGCTTCCTTTCCCACGTCACGTCACGTAGACCCTGTTCTGGGCCTGGGGAAGGAGCTGCCAGATGTGTGGGGGAGAGGGCAGGCCGAGAAGGAGGGGAAAGGCCAGGGCCCAGGCCCTCCCTTCCAGACAGTGGCCATGCCAGCCCCATCCCAGCAGCCCTTGAGCTAAATGCTCAAAATCCACCTGAGGCCAGGTGCCCTGGCGCACGCCTGGAATCCTGGCAGCTCGGGAGGCCGAGGCAGGAGGATCGCCAGGTGGAGGCCGGCCTCAGCCACCTAGGCACCAGGCAGCTCAGCGAGACCCTGTCTCTAAAGAAAACACAAAACAGGGCTGGGGACGGGGCTGCGTGGCCCAAGGCCTCTGGGTTGAGTCCCCAGGACCACCAGGCCTTCCCCCAAAGAAAGGCAAGATCAGAAAAGGTCATAGAGAGACACAAGGGGGCAGAGCTGGGTCCCTCTGAGTCACAGATGTCAAGGGACTTGACTGGCAGGAACAAAAGGGCCCCTCATCGGGCGTCCCCAGTCCTCCTGAGGCTCTGCTGACTGGGTGCCCACCCACAGGGTGGCAGGGGCGAGATAAAGACTTGGCCTGACTCTGCAGAAACGCCCAGGGCCCTGTTTACCAGGAGCCCGAGCCCCGTGTTGACATCTCGCTGTCCCCTGCAGCCAACCGCAGGGGTCGAAATTCCTGAGTCAGACCTGAAGGGTTGGGAAACAGGAGGTCACCTTCCCGTCTGCCCTCTGCTGGCCACAGTCTCCTTCCGGATAGGAGAGGGTGTCCCGGGATGGGCCTCTACTCCCGAGTGGCATGTGACTGACTGAATGCGCACTCTTGCCTCCAAGTGACTTGGTGTGATCCCAAGCTGGGGGCTCTGGGACACCCTGGGGACAGGCTGTTTGCATAAACCCACCACAAGTTCTGGGGATCCCTTCTAGAAGGCGCTTCCAAAACAGGAAATCAAAATGAATCATCTGAGAACTTGATTCTATGGACAGTACATCAAAACACCACAAGGTACCCCAAGACAGGTACAATTTCGGGGGGGGGGGTCCTAGGAATAGAACCCAGAATTACTGTACCCCTGAGCTCCATCCCCAGCCTTTAAAAATCTTATTTATTTGTTTATTTTGGAAACAGGATTTTGCTAAATTGTTGAGGCCGGCCTCCCATTTGTGATCCTCCTGTCTCAGCCTCCTGAGCGGGTGGGAGTCCTGAGATCAAACGGTGGGTGAGGACCGTGGAGACTGGAGCAAGAACCGAGCCCAGGAGGGTGACAAGGAAGCACGGTCGCTCGTCCTAACTGTGACAGTGGGTCTGGCCTTACGTGTGTGTCCCTGCCCGGTCTCCCTCCTGAGGTCACAGAGGCTGACGTATTGGGGAGTATTCAGGATCCTGGTGCCGGCTGCTTGCTTTTATGCTTAATTAAAGTAACTAATTAATTAATATTTGGTGACCAGGATGAAACCCAGGGGTGCTCTACCACCGAGCTTCATCTCCAGCCCCTTTTTATGAGTTCTTCAAAAATGGCTTAAACGTTGCTTAGCGCCTAAGTTGCCGAGGCTGGCCTCCAACTCGCGATCCTCCTGCCTGGGCCTCCCAAATCGCTGGGATTACAGGCGGGCACCACCACCACCACACACACCCAGCTTCAAAGGACATCCCAGCAGCTGGGGAGGCTGAGGCAGGAGGATCGCTGGTTGGAGGCCAGCCTCAGCCACTTAGCAAGGCCCTGTCGTGAAAGACCCCATTGTTAGCAGCGGAATGATGAAGATGTCAGGAGCCTTATTTTTTATTTTATTTTATTTTTTTAAATTTTTGGTGCCAGGGACTGAACCCAGGGGCACTTGACCCCGGAGCCCCGTCCCCAGCCCTTTTTTTTTTCGTATTTTATTTAGAGACAGGGCCTCGCTGAGTGGCTGAGGGCTTTGCTAAATGGTTGAGGCTGGCCTCCAAACTCATGATCCTCCTGCCTCAGCCTCCCAATCCACTGGGATGTCTGTTGTCTTTGATTTCTGATGAGGGACCCTAGAACAAGGGCCCGAGCGGTGACCTCTTGTTTCCCAGAGCTGCCCAAGAGCATTGGGCCCCGGGAGACAGACCCAGGCTCCTAGCCTCACTTAGTCGCTGTGTGTTTTGGGGGAGGGTGACTTGCCCTCTCTGGGCCCGAGCTTCCACATCTGCAAAGAAGGATCCAAAGACTGACTTTGGCAGGTTCTGAGGGGACCCCAAAGGCTACGGTGTCTTGCATGGAAGAAGAAGGATGCCATCGATTGTCCCCGGGGTGGTGTTGGGACAATGAGATGGTATACCCGCCTCCCCCGGAGACGGGCAGCCAGGGGCTCCTTGGAGCAGGAGGAACAAACCCACCAGCAGGAAAAGAGGCATCCAGGAGCAGGCCTGTCCATCCAATGAGCTCAAATCTCCGCCCTTGCCCCCCTGGCCGGCTGTGCCACCTTTGATAGGTGACTTGACCTCTCTGGGCCTCCATTTTTCTCCTCTGTGAAATGGGGGGAAGGCAGCTCCCCTGTCTGTCGGGATCCAATCAGACTGGGATGAGAGTTGGGGAGAACCAGGGTGGTGAATAGGATTTTTGGATCTCCTGGATACAGCCGTGCCTGAAGCCCTTAGTTCTCTTTTCCCATCAATCCTTCCTTTGGCTTAAGTGACAGGGCAGCAGAATGCCGAGGACGGACCCAAACTTGGATTTCTCCGGGGTGAGGGGGTGCTGCCTTCACCTCCACAGTGACCCCAAGTTACCCCCTGCCCCCCCAGATTTTCCGAAAGACTCTCACCTCCGTCTTGTTCCGGGAGAGGACGCTGGAATCGATGGGCCCCAGGGACATGTTTGGCAGGACCAGGTTGAGCACTTTCGCAGCGAGGACCTGGGCGGGGAGGCGACACGTGAGTCCCAGGTGGCATCGACGCCCCCCTCTTCCTGAGGGACAGGCCACAAGTCCCCTTAAGGACCCCGAAACCCGAATTGCACGTCAGCCTCCGCGGACCTCCAGAGCCTCCACCCTGGACTCTGTGGGGTGGCTTTTCCCACAAGTGCGGCGGCGCAGGCCTGTCCTCCCAGGGCCTTGGGAGGCTGAGGCAGGAGGATCCCAAGTCGGAGGCCAGCCTCAGCCAAAGCAAGGCGCTCAGCAACTCAGGAAGCCCAGTCACTGACCCCTGCCTGTCTGGCCCATCTGGCTGCCCACTTCCTTCCTGTCCCCGGATGAGGTGGGCCAGGAGCCAGGAGAAGGCTGAGCGCAGGACTGACCGCCTCAGCCCTGACCCCGCGACAGAGGAGGAGCGGAGAGACACCGGGCAGCGCCTGCTCCATTTTGTGGGTCCCACCACCAGAGCCCTCATTGGCCAGCCCCGTCCTGATTTTGAAGCCCGTCACCTGATTTTTTTGCAAGGACCCAGGGACGGGAATCCTGGTCCATCATGACGATTTGGTCATTTGCAAAAGCGACTCACTTACCTTCACCCTGGAACCTAGGTCCCTGCGTGGGGCACCACTCGAGCCAAAATGTCTACACCCCAAAGTGCCAAGACCTCACAAGGCGGGCTCCCATGGAAGGGATGGCAGTCTAGACAGCTGGTTTTTAAGAAAACGAGTTCTTGCCGGGTGTGGACACGCACCCGTGATCCCAGCTGCTTGGGAGGCCAAGGCAGGAGGATCGAAAGGTGGAGGCCAGCCTCCACCACTGAGCGAGGCCCTGAGCCACTCAGCGAGACCCTGTCTCTCAATCAAATAGAGAAAGGGCTGGGGACGGGGCTCAGGGGTGAAGCACCCCAGGGTTCCATCCCTGGGGGGACCCCAAAATAAAACCCCAAGCCAGAGTGGAGAGCAGGGAAGGGTGTGGAGGCCAGGACTTGAGGACGGCAGCACCTCCATCCAGAGAGAGCACCGTGGAGGTCGACCGGATGGCCACTGCTCTCTGCCCTCCTTGGGAAAAAAAAAAAAATCTCCCAGAGCGTCCACCCCTGATCACAAAAGCCCCATCACCGCTTCCCGAGAGAAGGTTCTGGAAGCCGGACCAGGATATTGCTCACCCATAAGGAAAGTGGGATCCAAACCATTACCAATCTCGATGTGCTTTCCACCAAGTCGGGGAGGATCTTCGGGTGATCCTGTGGGGGGCGGAGAGCGCTTGGGCCCAGCCCGGGAGAGGGGGTCCCCCACGGTCCCCCGGACCCCGACGAGGAGGACTCTGACCCTCGGTCTCCTCGTCTATACCATGGGGCTCATCCAATCAGCCTCCAGTGAGGGCTGGGCCTCCTGCCCACGGCGCTCTCCCCGACTCCCTGAGAAGAACCGCTCAGACCCTTTCCTTGTTGGTCGACTGAACAAGTGACCGCAGCGCTCAAGTGGACGCTCCTGGTCCTGGGGACACGAGAGACACCCACCGACGGGTCCCAGGGTTTCCATGGCGCCCACCACTCAGGCTTCTGCCCCCAAAGGCCTCACCAGGAGGACGGGACTGCCTCGGCCTTCTCCTAAGGAGGTTCTGGAAGACCCACCTGGGCAGAGAAGGCCGGGTCTTCACGCCTTTCATGGGGACGGCGGCGTGACCAGGGCCACCTGTGACGCGGCAGGACCCTGCGAGGGTCAGACTCACTGAGTTTTCTTTTCTTGGTCCCAGGGATGGAATCCAGGGACACTCGACCCCTGAGCCCCGTCCCCAGCCCTTTTTATATGTTATTTAGAGACAGGGTCTCGCTGAGTTGCTGAGGCTGGCCTCCACCTTGCGATCCTCCTGCCTCAGCCTCCCCGGCCGCTGGGATGGCAGGTGTGACCACGGCGCCTGGCAGGATTTTCCTCAGGTAAAACCACACCTGACGCCTCCCCGGGAAGAACTGGGCACTCGTTCCCAGCTGGAGGACAAGGGGTCACTACACCCGAGGGACTTCTGGATCCGGGGCCTAAACATGGACGTGCGCCCGGCCTGGCTGGGGACGGGGACGTCTTGTGACGCTGGCTGCCCCAGATCCTCAGGGACCTCACCAGGGGACAGTGGTTGACCTGATTCTCCTCTGGCCGCTGACCCTCAGCCCCCTGGGGTCTGCCCAGGGAGGTTCAGGGGGCCCCTGTGACCTGCTGCTCCTTATCCACCGACGTCCTGGGCGAGCCCAGGTCAGGTCTGTGAGTGACAGCTCCTGGATGGACAGCCCGGCGGGGACTTCGCCTCTGTCCCCAGGCCTCGGACCCCGGATGATCCCTCCCAGAGACAGAAAATCACCCCACACCGCCCAGGACTTGCTTTAGAGTTTTTGCTTCTGAAATTTTCAGGAAAAAAAAAAAAAGAAATTCCAGAGATTTTTGCTGCCACCTGCTTTGTGAAGCCAGTTTTCCAACAGGGACAATATGACTGGTCCCCGCGTCCGTGTCCTCACTGTCTCTTCTTCTGGGCTAAATATAGCTCAGCTTGTTGTTGAGAAAGGAGGCTCCGTGTCAGAACCAGATGGTGGTGCGATTTGGGGGTGATCAGGAGCCCTCGTTTCAGGAGGGACAGGGCTGGTCCTTTTCCACGTGGCTCTCTGTTCTCCAACTCGGTGTCTCGAGTGGCCCACCTCGAATAACTGGGGCTCGGGAGGCTGGGGCAGGAGGATCGCAAGGTGGAGGCCAGCCTCAGCCACTGAGCGAGGCCCTGAGCAGCTCAGCGAGACCCTGTCTCTCAATAAAATAGAAAAAGGGGCTGGGGACGGGGCTCAGGGGTGAAGCACCCCTGGGTTCAATCCCTGGTATATATATATTTAAAAAATAAAAAATAAACGTGGGGACTTGCCCACCTACGCCAGCCACGTCCCCAAGGCCTTTTTGACTTTTTATATTGAGACAGGGTCTCGCTAAGTAGTGGAGGCCGGCCTCCAACCTGTGATCCTCCAGCCTCGGCCTCCTGAGCTGCTGGGATGACAGGCGTGGGCCCCTGGGCCTGGCAAAACCTATCATTCTCCAAACTTTTAAAATTAATATTTTAAAAAAAGAAAAGATTCTGAAGTGGCTTTCAGGAGTGTTTCGGAGGAGACCAGAGCGTGTATCCAGGGCATCCACATCCCCCCGGGGGGCGGGCTAGACCAACGAATCTGACGCTGTCCCTCACGATGGCCAAAGACCAGCAGCAGCAACAGATTTCTGGGGTGTGGGGTGGCGGGAAGAGGAGGGCCATGGCGTCTGGGGCGAAGAGAAATCTCATTCGTCCTGGTCAATCAGAGGGGACCCCTGGTTCCCCCGGGGACCGCCAGCTTCTGATTTGACAAGGTGATCTATTAGCGCCAGTCTCTGAGAGGTCACAGTGCGGCCTCTGCCCAGAAGGGTCACTTGTGCGGGTCAGTGCTGGGGGGGTCCCATGGGAGGCTGGGAGGAGGGGAGAGACCTCCTACAAGGGGTTGGTCAATCCAAACCAGCCAGGGAGAGGGTCCTGGTCACTCCTTTGCCTTTCCCAGCCCTAAGACACTGTCCAGGATCTTTGCACAGAATGCACTGGGCACGCCGTGAGCTTCCCTGTTCTTCCAAAACCCAAATCAGGGGCGCGGTGGCCCACGCCTGTCATCCCAGCTGCTGGGGAGGCTGAGGCAGGAGGATCGCAAAGTAGAGGCCAGCCTCAGCCACTGAGCCAGGCCCTGAGCCACTCAGCGAGACCCTGTCTCTGAATAAAATCGAAAAAGGGCTGGGGACGGGGCTCCGGGGTGAAGCATCCCCTGGGTTCAGACCCCAGTTACCAGAAGAATAAAAATAAAAATCACGTGAAATAGGATGGAACTCGCTGTCCCCCCGCTGTGACCCCCATCTTATCCCATTGAGATGAGAAGCCTTGGACGATGGGGCGTCCTGGAGCTGAATCACAGTCATTATGGGAAGTGGCAAGCAGGGCAACAGCGTCCCCGGTGCATTTCAGTGATGGAGTGCTCTGGAGGTGCATTAGCCGTGGAGCCCAGGGACCCGGTGACAGGCCTCCACTGCTACCAAGAGAGGCTCAGGCAGCCGCGGGGACGTCCTTCAAATGGGGTCAAAATTCACTGTGAATCAAGTGCCTCGTTCTCTGGTTGAACTGTCAGTTTCCAGGGCTCCCTTCGGCCCGACCCATTCCCGTTTTACATCGCTGAGGTCCTCTGTCACCTCTGGGAACCCGACCCTGTCTCTAGGGGTGGCAGGGTCAGGCCTGTGGATGTGGATTAGAAAAAACAACAACTCTATTTGGTCCCAGGGATGGAACCCAGGGGCGCTTCACCCCCTGAGCCCCGTCCCCAGCCCCTTTTTCTATTTTATTGAGAGACAGGGTCTCGCTGAGTGGCTCAGGGCCTTGCTCAGTGGCTGAGGCTGGCCTCCACCTTGCGATCCTCCTGCCTCGGCCTCCAGAGCTGCTGGGATCAAGCAGAGAGGGGACTGGTTTCCTCTCCTTCCCCAGAAGGCAGGTGACGTTCCTATGCCTTGTCAAGAGAATCCCGGCGACCCCAGCCCACGCATGCTGATCTCAATGAACCCCGTTAGATTCGGGGGACCAGGAGGAACAAGAGGGAACAAACACCCTTCTCAGTGGCCATGAGCCATTGCCGAGAATTGCCCTCGCTGTGCATGTCCTGTCCAAGTGGGTGAAGGTTCTGTTCCAAAATCACAATAATAATAATAATAAAAATAGCTCAGGCCTTGCCTGTGAGTGACGGGCCAGCCGACGTGACTTTGGGGACAGATGACACACAGAAGCCTATTCTCCCCAGGGGCACAAGGATCTTTGTGCCAACTTTGGCACCGAGGCCCTGGGCCCTTTGACCCAGCCGCTAGCTGTCAATGCACAGGACGGCATGCACGACCCAGGGGACCGCGGGGGACCGCACACACACCCCCCAGAAAGCCCTTTACCTTGAAAGTCGTTGCAGATTCGGGATTGGCCAGAACCAGGGGTGAGATGAGGACCATCCCCGAGAAGTGGCCCGGCCTCTCCGCCGCTGTGAGGATCACAATGGCACCTCCCTGAAAAGCCAAAAGGGGCAGAGAGACAGGGTCTCGCTGAGTGGCTCAGGGGCTAAAGGGCTGAGGCTGGCCTCCACCTGGCGATCCTCCGGCCTCGGCCTCCAGGAGCTGCTGGGAGGGAGGACAGGGGTGGTGAGCCTGTCATCAGGGGCGGGGGGTCTGCTTACCATGGAGTGGCCCAGGAGGAAGACCGGGAGGCTGGGGTAGTCCTTCTGCATGACGTCCACGTGCTGTAGCACGTCCCTGACGAAAACGTGGAAGTCAGACACCACCATCCTCTCCCCTTCGCTCTGCCCGTGGCCGACTGCAGAAGGAGCCAGAGAGAAAAGAGAGGCCACTGAGTCCTTGAACCCTCGACGCAGCATCTCATTTAACCAATTTCCATTTTTTTCATATATCATCTCATTTAACAGATCCCCCCCCCAGGATCAAACCCAAGCTTCTCTGCTACTTATTTATTTATTTTTTAAAATTGAGACAGGGTCTCACCAAGTTCCTAAAGCTGCCTCAGATCCTTTTGGAACATTGGAATTCTTCTCCCTCTCTGGGCCTTGGACAGATTAGGAGATCCAAAGCACAGAGAGGTCAAGCAACTTGCCCAGGATCACACAGCTGCCGCGTCACCAGGGCAGCCCCCTGTGCTCAGACCCCAAGCACCTCTTTCCCACCAGCCTGTCCCCCAGGAACCCCCAGCCTCCCCCTCTGCCCAGCCCACCTGCCTCCCTGCCCGGCCCCCCTGGTCCTCAGCCAAACCTCTCCTCAGCCAAACCTCGGGTTCTCTCTCCTGTGAGGGTTTTATTTCTCCTTTTCAAAACATATTACTAACTCGGGTGGAGTGGTGCACACCCCTGTCCTCCGGGCAGCTCGGGAGGCTGAGGCAGGAGGATCACAAGGTGGAGGCCAGCCTCAGCCACTGAGCGAGGCCCTGAGCCACTCAGGGAGACCCTGTCTCTAAATAAAACATAAAAAGGGCTGGGGACGGGGCTCAGGGGTGAAGCACCCCTGGATTCAATCCCTGGTACCTCCCCCAAAAAGGACATTTCTCTGGTAACTATGATCCTATTTTATTATTGTCCCATCTGAATAAATTAATAATAGTCGCCTAATATCATTGCTTCTGACGTGACCCTGACCCTAACCCTCTCTGAAGTCGCTCCTTTGCTAATCAGCGAGATTCATTCATCTCCAATTGCACTTGGTGCCCAGGATCGGTGTCTGTCTTTTTGATTTTCAAATGGATTTTCTGTTCCAAACACGCAAACATTTATTGGGCTTAAGAGTCAGAAATAGATGAAAGAGACACAGAGAGAAGTGGGCTCTGCCCACGGCCTCCAACTCCCCCGTCTCCATTGTGGTTGATCATTTTATTAATCATCTTTGGGGTTCTCCTCCAAGCATTTGCTTTTGCAAAAATAGATGTGATTTGCTTGTTTTTATATGTCATCTCTTTCTCTTCCTCCATCCACCATCCACCATCCATCCATCCACCATCCACCATGCACCATCCACCATCCACCATCCACCATCCACCCACCATCCACCATCCACCATCCACCATCCACCATCCATCCACCATCCATCCACCATCCACCATCCACCCACCATCCACCATCCA